ACAAACTTTTATTTTGGATGCGATTTGACATCTGACATCCCTAGATTTAAAATGTAATTTAATGGAAAAAAAAAAACTAAATTGACATTAGTAGTGTACTGAGTTATGTAAACAAACTTTTATTTTGGATGCGATTAATCGTTTGACATCCCTAGATTTAAAATGTAATTTAATGGAAAAAAAAAAACTAAATTGACATTAGTTTTTAAAAGTGTACTGAAGTGTGTTAAGAAACATAGTCATGAAAGTGGACTCTTTTTACTTGCACTTAAGAAGACTTTTATTTAATTCATATTATATTATCTACAAGTACAGGTGTTTAAAAATATACTTTTAAGATTGGAAGTACACTTAAAGTGCACCTTCAATGCAATTAAGCATATTTCTTTATTGCAAGGGAATGCACTGGCACTGGTGTGGTCCAACTGTACATACTTTACACAAAGCCAGAGAAACGTTTTGTTCTAGTGATAGTGCCCATTTGCATCCATTCTGTCAACTCACCAGTCAAATCAAAGCAAGCACTGCAGGAAGTTCCTCAAGCAGCAAATATCTTTTAAACCCAACAGTCTTTCCTCAACAGACGGCAACAGGGCATCTGTGAGGGCAATTTACCCCCTCACATGCTGCAAATGCTGTAAATCTACTTTATCTAAAGGGAAGCATTGACCAGTGTGTCTGATCATAGATTTCACTGCATGAATAGGCGGAGCATCCGATTCAATCCATCCCATCCCAGCAGGTCTTTATGAGGCAGAGCGGGGCGTGAGGCATGATTACTCCAGTGGGACCCCTGAATCCTGTCTGTGATCTGTAGAGAGGGACATGCGCTTCCTCAAAGCTAGCTCATATCACTGCTCTGTGTGTGTGTGTGTGTTCAGATGGGCTGCTCACTGGGTTACGACTTCCACCATTGAAAGATTGAATGACAAAGTGCTTTTTCTCACACACAGAGAGAGAGAGAGAGAGAGAGAGAGAGAGAGAGAACAGGTCGTCATTTTGGAACAGTAAAGGAATATTTTTTTCAAAGATTTTTAAGCTTTTTTTTTTAAAGGTAAAGTTTCTATTTTTTCTTATAAAACTTTGTTAGTGTTTAGTAGTTCTTTAATTTGCAGTTATTCAAGTTAGCAGGGTCAATGACAAATAAAAGTGTTCATGATAAAGAAAATCATTTAAAATTCTAGTTTAAAACAAAAAACGGCACTTTTTGTATCCATATTGGTTTCATATGGTTTTGAGAAACTTTTGTACTATATATTAAAGGGATAATTTATCCAAAATATTTAATAAAAATCGAAAAAGTTACTCACCCTCATGTGGTTTCAAACATGTAGGACTATTTTGAAAAATGTCTTTTCAAATCATTCATCATTATGGAAGAAATATAATGACAAATGTCTTTGACTCAGACTGAATATTTCGGACGTGAACTCTGGAAGGTGAAATTTTGAAAATATGTGTGAAATGTTTTGAATTTAAATATTCACAGCTTAAATATACAACCATATTGAATTTTGGCCCCTAAAAATGCAAGCCCTGAAAATTCAACACATTAAAATGCAAGCACTGTTAATGCAAAGCATACATTTTTCAGTTAGTGCAATTCAGCATGCTTTTTTGTCATTATTTTTCTGCCATACATCATAATTTTTGGGTGAACTATCACTTTAAAAGACTTATGTCATATGGTGTCACTAAGTAAAAAATAATAAACATTTTACTTATATCTTGAACACATGAGTGTAAACAACTTAATCTTTATAAATATCAGTAAAAAAAAAAAAAAAAAAAACTTTGCTGCCGTACCATGGGTGCAGCAGGCGCAATGATATTACGCAGCACCTGAAAATAGTCCCCAGCACGCTC